AACTTCATTTGAAACTTTATTTTGCTTCCCAAATTATCAATTAGACCACTAAATATATATATAAACTTAAAATTTAAATATTTAATAATAATTTTCATCATTCAACATTGTTTTTCAAATCTCGAAGAGATATCTCTCAAAAAATGAGTGGTCTAGATTTTATCTACATAGTTTTCAACCTACTCTTAGTTGATTAGTCCAATTCAGATTAATCTAGGCAATAAAGTAGGCTACATTTGTTGAGAGAACGATAGAGAGAGGGAAGAGAGTAGACTTAGAATTTTGGACTCAATTAGTTTCCTAGGACCGATTTAAAGTAATTTGATACTTGGCTACAATTTGAAATGAATCATATTTTTATAATAATAATATATATATATATTTTTGTGTGTAAATGTTATTATTTAAAAGTTATTTTTCTTGTCTTTTTTGATAAAAAAAATGTTATTAGGTATTTAAATTTATTTTATATATATACATATCATGCGTCTAATTAATATCTTGAGGATAGTTTAGTCAATAAAATAAAGTTTCAAAATAAGTTCGGTGTCATGTCAACAATTTCTGTATGATTATAGACAGCACATGATGACAGAGGTAAAATTGATACCATAACTAACAATTTAAGTGTAAAATTGATAATATTAAAAGAACATGAGTTAAATTGCAAAGTGAGTGATAATTTGGGGAGTAAAATGAAATTTTCTTAATCTTTAAATTCTGTACACGAGGAAATTCATTTTGTTTTCTCAATCTATTCTAAGAACTATTGGTGCGGTTGTGACCAACGCTTCAAATTGCTTAGCCAATCAATTCTTTAGGCAACTCGTACACAGTTGATTGAGAAATCAATTGATGGTCTACAGGTAATCCAATCAATTAGTCAATTGCCCAATTAATTACTGGTGGCAAAGTCATTCAATCAAGGGTAATGTACAGTCAAATCCTGTTTTAACAATTAATGGTACTTTAGGACCTACTCACAAAACTTTAAAGCCATAAATCCTATGTTAATTTTATATGACCAATCTACCCTTACAAATTAAAAAAATAGAAAAACATTTGGTTCTTCAGTCTCTCTCTCTTTCACCCTCTCGTTCCCTTCTCTCTCTCTCTCTCATGTCCTCTCCAGCCACCACCACTGAACTATCGCCAGTGACCCTGACGCTAAACCCCACTAGCGATTTCCTTTCTCCAACAGCGACCTCCCTCAGTCGCCCCTCTCCGACTTCTCTTCCCTCTCTCGCACTTCATCCCTTGTTACATTGCGACCATGTCGTCGCCCATCGCTTCTTGCAGTTACAGTCACCTCTACTCCTCATCGACGTTGCCGTCTATCATTGTCGCCATCGCCATTGCCGCCTCTCATCATCTCCATCATTACCTCTCACCATTGTGATCCAGTCATGCTCATCTCGAACCAGATCTAGAACTAGATTAGGAGATTTCTAGATCTGGAAACTGTAGAAGAAGAAGGAGAATGAGAAGGTAAATATGTGTGTGTGTGTGAGAGAGAGAGAGAGCAGATTGATAATATTCTCAATTTTAATCATGAAGAGAGAGAGCAGATTGATAATATTCTCAATTTTAATCATGAAAAAAATTGAGAAATTTCTCAAAAATAATAATATTCTCAGTTAATATTAGAAAAAAATTGAGAAATTTCTTAATTTTGATAATTATAAACTGAAATCATTCTCTGTTTTGAAATTGAGAATATTCTCAGTTTATAATATTCTCAATTTTAATTATGAAAAAAATTGAGAAATTTATTAGTTTTGATAATTATAAACTGAAATCATTATCTGTTTTGAAATTGAGAACATTTTCAGTTTTGGCGTTGACCCAGTTTTCGACGATGGACGACAAACGATGAATGAAACAAAAAGGAAGAAGCTATACGATTTCGACAGGGCAACGTTATCATGGCTATTGGGGGAGGCATAACAGAGCTTTCTTCTGGATTGCAAAGATCAAAAGAAGAGGTTGCAAACATTCGTGACAACAAGGGGTAAAATTGTCTCATAAATAGAATTCAAGACTTTTCGAATTAAAAATCTTAGAGCAAGACTTGAACTACTATGTGTCTTGTAAGAGTGATGCTACGTAGCTCGAAACCCCTCCCCTCCGAATCCCCCGAACCAAAAACAATGCCGTTTTTGGTTCGTTTTTTTTTTTTTTTTTTTTCTTTTTTTTTTTTTTTTCAATGTCAACACGGCTACAAAATGCACTCTGCTTCTTGCACTATAGGTGATCTAAACTCGGGCCGGGCCGGTGGCCCATCATGAATTTGGTAAATTTGTACTTTTAACAGAGTTATTTATTTATTTATTTTGAGAAATTACAAAATGAAGCCAACTTCATCAAAATAATTACAAATTCATAGGATGTTTATGATTTTAATAATTAAAATTTATAAATTTTACCATTAATTTGAGAAAAAAAAAAATCATCTTTCATCTCATATGTTACTTCCTCCCCCTTTTTTTTTCCTAATGCCCAAAACGACGTCGTTTTGGGCATTAGGGAGATTGGGGGGGGGGAAGTCTCGAGCTACCAAACATTATTCGTCTTGTAAACATGACTTTTTGATAATTAACTCTTCAATCAATTAATGGTGTCCAAATCATCCAATTCATCATTCATGTGATTCCAATATCAATTCTAATGAAATTCACTTGAAATTGAATTAACCCTTTACTGTTTCACTTGGTTATTTTTTCACTTAATATTTTTGGTATATTACCCTTTTTTTACTTTTATAATTTGACTCAAATTTCAATTGAATCTCTATTCTTTCAAATTAATTTATTATCTTATGAAATAATATCTTGTAAATAATAATTATGTTGCTATTGGTTCAAAATTACATAACATATCTTATAAATTTATTAATCGCAAACTGTCAACATCGTTATAATTTTTTTCAAAATTTACTAAATACTGATGTTGTTAGAGATATAGAATTTACTAGAAAAAAAAAATTGATAAAATAACTCAAAAAATTATATGTTGTTAACAACAACTAGATTTAATATCTCAAGCATAAAAAAATCAATAATAATAAAAAATAAATTAATATATATATAATAAAAACAAAAATAAATAAATATTTAAGCTAAAACAAAAATAATATAAAATTGTGAACCAAAAAACTTGTGTAAATAATAAAGAAACTTAAGGACGTTGCACACTCAAAAACTATCCGATAATTTATAATAAGGCCTTATTTGTCATAACTTTAAAAAATTAAAAAGTTACTATCCTATTTAAGTCGTATCATCTTATTTAAGTCACATCACCTTTCTACCACATCACTTCAAATCCAACCCATATTTTATAAAAAGTCAAAAAATACACTTATTTAAATCATTCCAAATCACTCCTAATAAATAAACTACTTATAGTGGGTCCCCAAACCACCAGCAGAGCTTATCAAGTTGTGCTCGTTGGATTGGCTTTTGGAATTAGGCATAGTTTGAGAATAGGTTTTTTTAAAAAAAGTTTTAATTTTTTATTTAAAATATAATGTAAAAAAAATGAATATATTTAGGGTAATTTTTTTATTTTTTATGAAAAAATGTATAAAAAGTAGAGAGAAAAAGAAAATTTTTAATTTTTTGATATAGATTGTTAGTTTTTTAGTTTTTTTAGTAACTTTTTAACTTTTAAACTAAAAAGTGATATAACTAAACGAGGCCTTAATTGTAACTATTTTGTGGAAATAGGCTATGAGATTAATGTTATGTTTAGTTTAAAGATTTGACAATAGATTTACAAAAGAAAATGATAGGTAAATGCGTGTTACATTATTTTTTTTTTCTTTTCAAATTTGTTCTCAAATTCATGAATAAAACACAACGTGAAAACACTGTTGCATCAATAGAATAGGGTATTAGTGCGATCATAGAATATGTACTTACATTACATAAATTGTAATTGAGAGAGAGGAAAGTGAGAGGATGGGTGGGTTGAGGAAGTGACGGTTATGGTGAGGAGAGTCAAGAAGATAGGAGGGATAAATTTACAAAATTATCCTTTTATTATTGTATCTAAAGGGAGTTGGACATATGTATGGATAGAATTGAAACCAGTTAAAAATTTTGAGATTTAAATTGAAACAATAAAAAATTTAAGGTTCTAATTTGTTAACGTAAGTCAACACTTTGGCCGCATTAGCATAAGAGCAGTGCTAGGGTCTCAACAAATCGAGGCTCGAATGTCTCAAATTGTTTTTTTTTTTTTTTTTTTATGTCTCAAATTGTTTTTTTTTTTTCTATTATTTATTATTATTATTTTTTATTTTTGTGGAAGGGTGGTTATGTGTAAGGGTGTGTGCTAAAAAATTAGACATCTCGCACCAATTCAACCTGTGTAGTTTGATAAGATGAGTGAGTTGAGTTGGACTGATTGGGTGACAAAATTGACTGATTAGTTAGGTTGCTGGTTAAAATTTGTTAATTCTATATAATTTTGTATGAGTCTCCATTATATTTTTATTTCAAATCAGGAAGATTTGGGAGAAATTGAAATGACTTTGGTATTGTTTATGCATACACAATACCAAAGTCATTTCAATTTCCTCCGTGTCTTCCTAATTTGAAATGAAAATATAGCAGGAACTTGTACAAAATTATATAGAATTAACAAATTTTAGTCAGCAGCCTAACTGATCAGTTAATTTTATCTCCCAATTAGTCCAACCCAACTCATTCACCTTATTAAACCACACAAGTTGAGTTGATGCTAGATGTCTAATTTTTTGATACATCCCTACACATAACCACTTTTCTAAAAAAAAAAAGAAAAAAAAAAAGGAACCAAACCAACACAACCCAACAAATAAATTTTTTTTTTAAAAAAAAGCAACAACAACCACCAAACTAACATAGCCCAACAAATAGAAAAGAAAAGAAAAGAAAAGAAAAAAAAGAAAAAAAAAAGGAAAGAAAAGTACAATTTGAGCCTTGATTTGTCAAGACCCCAAGCATTAGTCTTACCATAAAATGTGCAACCTAGGTTGTTAAAGCAACAGAGAGAGAGAGAGAGAGAGAGAGCAACCTTGCAAAAATGTTAAAGCAAAAGTTCGTTTCCCAATCTACTCCTTTCCTCGCACCTATTCTCACATACTTTCTTCTCATTTTTTGGCACCATGGAATCATTACAGTTGCTCAAAGCAAAAGCACAACGCGCATCGGTGCGATCATCAATGTTGATTCCCGTATTGGGAAAGAAGTAATAACTGCAATGGAAATGGCTGTTCAAAGCTCCAACAGTATCTCAGTGGATCACATGTTTTCTCTCCATTATCGACACCCTGGTAGCAACCCTCTCCAAACAGCTCATGCCGGTAAGTCATATTTATTGCCTCTTCCTAACACTCCGTCAGGGGTAGAGAGGGGGTTTTTCTCAAATTAAAGTCAAATTAATAACTTAATTTCCAAACTAAGTCTGGTTTGGACGGAATTTTCAAATTAGGGTAAAGCGCTATTACAAACCACGCTTTCACGGTTCCTAGGCATCTCTTGCGGGAAATTTATGAAATAGTAAAAATATGGTTACAAGTCACGCTTTTAAAGATTTTTTTTTTCTTTATAAAACGTGGTTTCAAACCACGCTTTATAAATTTTTTTGAGAAAATGTGATTTGAAATCACGCTTTCAACTCACTCTACGCACTCACTCTTCTCTTCTCTCTCTCTCTCTCACACACAACACTCATCACACACACACATACAAAACCCCACACACACACCAAATAATTTTCAATATATATAAATTTTATTTTATAAAATTAAGATCAATATTAAATATATATATATATATATATATAAATAATTTATAATAGTAAATAATAATCAACTATATATGAAATTAAGGTCATATATTTTTTTTAAGATTTGCTTATGAAATTAGAACTTAAGTACAGATCAACGTGTTGCATGATAAAAAGTAATAAAAGTAAAGTCCAATTTTATGTGTTAAGCTTTGTTAATTGTGAGTTTTGACTGTTGCAATGAAAATGTTGAAGTGTGTGTTTAAAAAAAAATATGACACAATTTAATGTATTTATAAGGATAAAATTAAATTTAAAGAAAAAACATAAAAATGTATCCACCGCTCATTCCCCTCTTTTCTCTCCTTTCTTTGGCTACTTTTTCATTAAAAATAAAATAAAATAAAGCCATAAAAACCAGTCATTGCAGTTAACAATAAATATTAAATTTGGGTACTTTTTCATTTGCAATTACTCTTTAATAGCTTCACTAGAGCATGAAAAAGAGAACTAGTTAGTTTGTTGAGAAAAATTCAACCCTAAATACACCTCAAAGCATCCTATGTTGCCCAACCCTAATACTATCTTAATAACTATCATAATAATTGTCCGTACTTGTGTTGAAAACAACATTCAAAATCATCAAATTTGGACAAGGGGATTAATTTTAGGTGACTCATAAGCTCATATGTCTTGACTACTTAGTATTTTTCAAATTTAACCAATATGTAATTTGTGATTGATTGTAAGCATCTAAAAAAATTTATTTTGTTGTGATCCAAAAAACCTTGCCTTAAAAGGAAAAGTTATTTGGTGCTTCAAGAGCACAATTAGGTGATGTCACAAATCGAATATGATTAGTGAAAAGAATGAAATTCACTGATTTCTGTAGGTGATAAAAAAATAACAGAAGACATGATAATTAAAAATTAATTGAAAATAGGTGGACAAGTTAGGTCTTGGAACACCTAATAATTTTCCCCTTTAATTGTGATTAAGATTGACAATCAATGATTTCGGCTAGTGATGAAGAAAAATAAAGTTATATACATCAATGGGGGTTTTTTAATTTTTTTAAGAGGTTTTTTCAAACCCTTTTTTTTTTTTTTTTAATAGGAAAAAAAATAATTGAAATTTTTTTTTGAAAGAAAAATAATTTAAAAATATTGGTCTTAATTTCATATAGTTGATTATTATTTGCTATTATAAATTATTATATATATATATATATATATTAATATTGGTCTTAATTTTATAAAATAAAATTTATATATATTAAAAATTATATTGGTTTGGTGTGTGTGGGGGCTCTGGTGTGTGTGTGTGTTGAGTGTTTGTGTGTCAGAGAGAGAGAGAGAGAGAAAAGAGAAGAGTGAGTGCGTAGAGTGAGTTGAAAGCGTGATTTCAAATCAAGTTTTCTCAAAAAAAATTATAAATCGTGGTTTGGAACCACATTTTATGGAAAAAAAAAAAATCTTAAAAGCGTGGTTTATAACAACGCTTTTTTAATTAAAAGCGTGGTTTGTAACCACGCTTTTACTATTTCACAAAATTTTCGCGGGAGAGGCCTAGGAACAGTGAAAGCATGGTTTGTAATAGCGCTTTAGCCTAGTTTGGGAATTCCGTCCAAACTATGCCTAGTTTGGGAATTAAGTTCCTAATTTGACTTAATTTAAGAAAAGCCCCGATAGAGAGAGCTAATTGAATGAGTACGACAACCAAGACTCAATTATTACTCTTTCTGTCTCAAAATAATGGTCTCTTTTAAAAAATTTAACTTTTTATAATAGTACAATTATTGTATTTAAAAAAAATTAATTTTACAAAACTACCCTTTGATAGGATATTTTTTTGGGAAATATCAATGCCATAATTGTATTTTTTATATTGTTAATGAATTTAAAATAAGGACAAAATAAGAAATTTATATTATTTTTGTACTTAACTTTTGAAAATGGACTAATGTTTTGGAATAATAAAAAATAAAATAAGAAACTAATATTTTGGGACGGATGAAGTATTAATTTTAGGATTAAAATGGTAGTTTGTGGTTGAAGCACTTTACCCTTTACGGTCCAAATATAATCAGAAAGACCTTATGCAATTTTCAACTAGAGTGACACTGTTAGGGTTTTCATCCAAAATAACGAAAAGTGTATCACACACTCCATTTTTTAGAGAGTTTGATTTTCTAAAAAAATAAAGTAAAATTAATGCAACAAAAAGGCAATTTTATTCCATTTTCTCTAAACTTAAAATTAGATTAATATGGTAATTAATATAAAATATAACTAAGGATTGATCAAAAATAAAAAATACAATTAAGAATTTATTTAAAATATAAAATACAATTAAGAATTTATTTAAAATATAATTAAATAAAAATACAAAAAAATATAATCATTAAGAATTGATTTAAATATAATTAAATTAAAATTAGATTAACATGTTAAAAATTGCAATAAATAATTAATAATTTAGAATTAATTGTGATGTAAAATATAATTAAATTGAAATTAGTTTAAAATGTTAGGAATTACAATAAATAATTAAATGTTTTAAATTAATTGTGATATGAAATATAATTAAATTAAAATTAGAATAGAAAGTTAAAAATTACAATAAATAATTAAAATTTTATAATTATTTAATACCTAATCCTTAATTTCGTTAAACAAGTAGTAGACTCGGAGTATCCGATGTTTCAAAATTAATGACAAATTAATTAAGAAGTATCAAATATTTTTGATGACTATTTGATACATATCTGTGAATTTTTCAAAAATAGGATAAAGTACCGACAGGTTTTAATAATTAGATTTAATTTTCATAAAATCTTATTAAAAATAAATTATAGTAAAATCGTTGCTAAAACTAATTTTTTGTGACCATTTTTGCATATATCGCTAAAAATTGACAATTAGTGACTTTTTTTATCACGATTTTTATGAATTGTCATTAAAACTTGCAATTTGTGACATTTTTCCGTGACAAAATTTTCAAATTGTCACTGAAAATTAAAAATTAGTGACCTTTTTTCGACTTTTTTTTTTAAATTAGCCCTAAAATTTATAATTACTGACATTTTTGTGACAATTTTTAAATTATTACTGAAAATTAACAGTTAATGACTTTTTTTAATAGTATTTGATGAAAAACGCCATTAATTCTTATAAGACCTATTGAATAATAAATTCTCCTATTAAAATCTACACGTAAATCCCCTTAAAATATATCACTATCAGATACAATTGTGCCATCCAATTTGAACTATCCATGCTTTATAGAGTTTAGGACATATGAAGAAAGACCCATACCAAATTTACAAGCTCCAAAAATGAAGGACTAAAGAATGAAACTCAAAGAAAGGCAGAGAATATGTTTTGGTGACAGAAAAGCATGACGAAGTCATATTTTTAAGTTTCCATCAAGTTTGGTCAAACACGAATTTAATCCAAGTGTCCATATTTCACATGACAAATCTTTACACAACCTGGCCATCAAATATGTCATCTTTGAATAATTATCAATATGTCTATGTTTGGGAAGTTGGGTTTGAGGAATTTTTTGTCTAAAATAGCTATAAAAAATAAAATAGACTTTTTAGCCTAATAAGAAAAAATATCACATATAACCTATAATCATTACATTCTTTATCTCACAAAAAGGCCAGAAAAGCCAAAAGCCATTTCCAAACCAGACTTTTTAGTCCCAGGCTAAAATAGTCAAAAAAAAAATCAAAAAATTAAAATGCTAATCCTCTTCTCAAACGAAGCTTACATATGAGTGCAAAAAATTACCTTATTCATGCCAAGATTCTATAGTTTAGCAACTTGCAAGACAAAGATGATGTTTGATACGTTTATCCAGTATTTCGAACTGAATGTATTAAATGATAATTATTTAAATTCGTTTGATAATCATAATTGATATCACTTAAAAATTTAAATATATTTTAAAATGTAGGTTAAAATTTTAAAAAATTTTAAGTCATATGAAACTTATTTAATTCTAACGGAATTTATTAATATTAAATATAAGTATTGATATACATTATAAGCTTACCACCACTATCACCATCATTACCCCTATCACCACCGCCACAACCACCACTAGTATGCCACCGCCACCGCCACCATCGCTACTGCTACCACTACCACTACCACCACCACTACAGCTGCCGTCGCCAGCACCACCACCACCATTATGCCACTACCACCACTAGGGATGGCCACAAGGCGGATTTGCCATTCTTTGCCCCTGTCCCCACCCCTGCCCCAGTGGACAAACTCCGCCCTCGCCCCACCCCTGCTACGGGTGGAATTTTTCAACCCCATTTCCACTTTCGCGGATACCAATACCCGCAGATATCCGACTACATTTCAAATAGCCAAAAAAAATAAAAATTGAGAACTATTTAAATTCTTAGCACAGTAATAATTTTCCTTATTTCCATTTATATAAACAATGAGACTTTTAGAATTATTATTTATTTATATTTCAATAGAATGACAGACTTTTAATTTTTTTTCTTGTATCTAATTATATTATATATATACATATATATTATTTATT